CATTTTTGCATTTCTCCGTGTCTAGAAGCGTAACAGATGTTGCCATCTTTGTGCTCCGGCTCACAGAAATTTGCTCATATTTAATTTAATCGGGCGAGTGTAGACGATTTGTGAAGCGCGCGCTGACTTGTCACGGTCACGGTTTCCTCTCTTCTAGTGTCAAAGCACGAATATGGAACGAACCTTGATGAGTCAGATATGCGCAATGGTGCGAGGGCATATGCTGTCAAGTGGTCACTTTAAACTCTGCAGTGTGTGCATCATGCGTAACTGTTTGTCGAATCTGAGGTGACGGTGCTGAACTGCGTGGCACACCAGTGTGCTTTCAATTGGTATTTGAAAACTTAATTTGAGTGACAGACATGTCATTGCTTCTGCCATTTTATGCCTTTGATGCACGACCTATTTGTAGTTGAGCCTCAGTCTTCTAAGCTAGAATCTCTTGAAAATATTTTTTTTTCAAGGCAACATTATATTGGCTCTGTGATTGCAATTCTTAGAGTTCGCCTAACTGAAAGTCAGGATATAGAAGGGAGGAGGAATTTAAGGAAATTATGCCTATATAGCACGTAAATATGCGTAGCTTTTCCGGGTGGTGATGTGATGACAAATGAGCTGTGCATTACCTCACTGTTATTCTTTTTTAGAGTATGGAATTTGCTCACTGATAGTTATGTCCACGACCTCTTCGCGCTTCTCTTCCAGCCTTCACAGCAGAATGCCTTTGTCAAGTCGAATTCGGCCTAGCGCTTTGTGTGGTTTGATAATCTAATCGAAGCTCAGCCCTAACGCTTCAATGTGAGATTTCCAAATTTGCAACAATCGACATTTAAAATTGCGACCTTGTGGCTTAAGGATAGGTGGAATAATTGAGAGCGAATTTATGAAACATTGCACAAGCATTTGCTTTACAACTAAGGAAACTTTACCAATGGTTCTTGTTTTTTTTAGTCTTTCTATTTAATTGACCGAAAAACCTTTTAATTTAGTCACATTGTCTTTTCGGATTTAAAATGCACTGTATATCTAGTTACCAGACTTTCATTCATGTGTATACTTTACTCCTTCAGACAATTTAATTGCATAGACACTCGAGAATTAATTGCTGCTAATAATGAGTACGTTTTTTAGGTGACAAGCAGCCCATTTTCACCAAGCAGGCTATCGGCTCCTGCGACGGAAATGAACACCGACCCCCCTTAAACCTTGCTAATCTGTAAACTACTAACTTATTTTCCAAAAAGTGAAAGTCCTTTTCTACTTCCTCTTCTTGATTCAATAATATGAAAGCGAAGCTAAAAGAAAAGGACTCAAAATTTGACTTATTTGCGATCAATTAATTAATCAAGCTTAAAGTTGAGTTTGAGAATTGGTGATCTAGTTAGAAAAAAGAAAGCAAAATTGCGCCTGGTTTTTTGCTAAAATAGTTAAAGTCGTAACAGTCATGGACCTACCAATCAAGTACTTAGGCCAAGTTATTGTTGACTTTTGAAAATCCAATTATATTTTGAAAGTAAAAGCCAATACATCTGTGGTCATTGGATAACAATAAGGAACCCCAAAATGGTGGATAATCCCTCGCTTATAGATAAACCGGTAGGCCATAGGCGTAGCCCTCAACCCAAAGGAGTAAGTGTGCGTACAATTTAAGGAAAGTAGGCAAATTATTCTGAAATTTGCGAATATTTGTTTTGTTGGAAGTGTTTAAACATACTAATTTCTTAATGTCAAGCAGAATGTTTGGAACATAAATGTAAAACAACTCTGTATAAACTCAACTCTTCATAGCTTCGAATTATATTTTTTAATATGCTTGTAATCAAAGCGCTTACTTCCAAACTCCGTATCCGTTGCTGCCCTTGGTGTTGATGAAGGGAATATGCCCGTATGGATAATGAATCGTTTTGGGGTTGGCTAAATTGTACGAAACGTTCAACTGGTTGTAATTGTGAATTCTACGCGGAGAAAATCGGAAAATTTTGCACCTACAATGTTTGCAACTACATTTTTAGCTTTTGCAATAAACTCAAAACTCCTGATTCTGTTCCGTTTATAGCATTCGTTCTATATGACCGTTTCCTATGCTTTGAGCTCCAATCTATTTTTAGGTCTTGTCACAATATTGATACAGCACAGGTTAAACGAGTACTTTTGCGAAAAAAGAAGGACATTATTCTTCACTTGTATTCGGTTATTCAATTAACAACCAAGAGTGTTGATAGAAGAAAGGTTCTCAAGGCATCTGCCCTACAGAAAATTTTTAAAAAATCGTCGATGGAAGTGGACATTGAGCATATTATTAATTCTGAAGCTTATGTCTTGGGGTCTTTGCAGGATGGCCTGCATTGTTTCGATTTGCTTACGTCCGTGGAATTCTTCACTTGTTTGAATGATCGCTTTGCGACTAAAGTTAATCTAGAAAATGTCGTGGATGTTCTTTATGTTATATCTGCCAATTTGTCGAAACTTCGAAGTGAAATCCACTTGGTCTTCCGAAAAAACATTCAACCACACATTTGTCTTCGAATACTCACCGCATCAGCCATTGTATGTGCGGCTTTGAAGTCCTCACAGTTGGCTCTTGCCTACTCCCGAACGTGTTCTTCTTTACTAACGTGTTCTGTCGACGAACTATTGGCAGTTGTTCATTGTATACTGTGCTTATTTTGATTTAGGCAAGTGAACTTAATTTCCATGATTCCCGAGAAGTGTGTTGTTTTCCGTTTGAATAGATATCTTCATGCTTTGTTCTGCTCATTATCTTCACCTGGTACTTTTCGTGCTAGTTCCTTTTCTATCATAGCCCATTTTTAACTGGTTAAGGCCATTTTTAGTAGACAATAGATTATGTCTAACCGTTATCCAGCATGTGTCTTATTAATCCTAAAGTGTTTGGTTTTCGTGTGGATTTATACAGGTTTAAATAACAATCTTGCCACCGAGGTGACTCCATTTTCCATAAATTTAATAAACAATGGTTACACAAATTCCAATCTAGTTACTTATAAGTTGACGTTATGGTCTAACTAAAACCCGTTACTAGTCGAAGATAATATGCATTTTAATTTCTCTTTTACCATTAATATAAACCGTGTTACTGGATCTCCATTTTCCGTCTAATATGGCAATTTTTCCAGGTTTCTAGGCACTTTTCTATTGCTTTTTTCATATTTTGACCTACTTTATTATGTTTGCTTCACTGTGTACTTTTTTCGGGTTTCAAGTGGGATATTGAGTTAGATTATTTCATCAGGTATTTTTGGCCTCTATCTTCTAACTAGTAAGTGTTATACACCAATTTTAATTCCACGACCTTTAAAATGGCAGCAAGATTATCAACAACAGATATTACATTCTCACAAGAACGTGTTTACCCTATCATTAAGAATTTTTTTCCATTTGCGTACCTTATTACTCATCAGATTCGGATGTTGGGATCATTATAGGCTGGATGTCCGAAAGAGAAGCGAGGAAGTACTCGTAGGAATATGTGTATTGTAAAACGCAAGCTTTTTGCACATCGAGTACTTAAATGCAGTCCACAGTCCTGCAAAATAAGACGGACAAAATAAAGTGGTTTATTTTCGTGCATTAGACTTCTGCATTTATTGCCGGTGTGTTCATCAAATTAAAAGGAGAACCAAAATATTAACAAGTTTGAAAGACCAATTATGAGGTATTCCATCTCTACATGATAGTACGCGTGTGGATCACATCGCCACCTTTTATGAACTTGTTCAATTCTACTAGGAGCTTGGCTCCTTCGATGCAGTCCTCCTATTCGATGCTGCCAGTCTCGTCATTCTCTTTTAAGTTCACATCAATAGATTCAGTAGTCATGCTTATTGGTAGTGTCCAATCCCCTTCTTCACATCTATTTACGGACAGACTGACATCCGGTCCAACCTTTAATCTGCATGGGTGCTCAAGTGTAAACGCGTTACCCATGTACAGTTGTCCGTTAAACACCACCGTTTCGTTATTTGCAAGTTGGGGATCGATGGCAGGAAATGCCGGCTGACCTGGAGGCTGAATACCCATTGGAGTCGTCTGGAATAGTGGCCATTGTGTAGCCACCCTACAGGGGCTTAGCCACTGGTTGCAGTCTGCCATCCAGGCTCCGTTTTGGGGTGTCGCTACTTGTCCATCAACTGTTCGACTGTTTACTGGCATTTGGGGATTTTGATAGATCAGACTTGGTGTCCATATTTGTTGAATCGCCTGTGGCAACCAGCCCGCTGCATTGGAGAGAGGGATCGTGTGATAGCCTGTATTGGTGCCGTTGAAAGCCGGCTGCATCTCGTCATTCCCCAAGGATAGTACTTCACTCAAACCTTGCTGCTCATTCACCGCGGTCTCCTTTAGGTATTCATCCTCTTGGGAGACACTGGTAGGCATGAGAGGGACGGTGATTTGGCTTTGCGATAGGAGGCCCGTTTCCGTCTCATGCTGTGTTATGGATGCTACAGGATTCGATTTATTTAGTGCGGTGTAGCCATAAGCCAGTGGTTGTCGTGGTAATGACGAGAGAGGTGATTTAATGGAGAATGCGTAAAGTGGCGCCGGTGTCAACTGCTGTTCCGTTGGTTGTCCCCACACTGGCCCTGCGGGCAGTGGCAGGGTTTGTGCTGATGTTTCTCTATTCGGAATGTAGAATGATACGTAAGTTGGTGTCGACTTGGACACGTCGGTAGTTGATTGTATTCCCGGATGGCCAATTAAGGGATTGTTTGGTACTGTAGGAAGCTCTTGATTTTGCCCCTGATAGTCGTAAACGACACATTCTGGTGTATTGGGTGCCTGAGCCAGGGTGCAGGTTTGTGTTACAGGACCTGGTACGAAGAAGCCCGATACGGCTAGGGGGTACTCCGTTGGCTGTTGTGTATCCCTTGGAAAAGCATTGATGGATACGAATCCCGTAGGTCCCACAGTGGTTTGCATGAATTGCCCATCCTGTGCCATGCAACTGGAATAGCGCCAGGGCACTGTGGTGACCTGCCGCTGGATAGGTCGATATACTTCACTTGCTGGTGGAAGATATTCTTTTCCTGGTACCGCCGATCGGGACAGGTCCTTTGGTTCCACTGTCTCAGTGTTGTAACGATTGGTTAAGTCATGTCGAAATGGTATTTTATACGCGATATTCCATGCAAGCTTGCCTGGAAAATGAGTAGATAATGATGAGCTGATTTAGATTTGTGTAATCATGATCACTTCCAGTAATATCAATAAATTTTAATACAATTATGGTGGTGACTGAGCCAAACGGCACAGAAATGATTGTTGGAAGTAGGTGGGTAAGGAGGGTGGGATCGGTTGCGCACCCAAGTAGTCCTGTGCAAGAATGAGGATGGCACGCGCGCCTCTGCCCCTCACCACGACAACGAAGCTAACGGCATGGACTAGAGTGAGGAGGGAGGGGTATCCGTAGGCTTCAGGATATAGCGTGACCCCGAAGTGGCGTCGATACATCTGCTCCATGAGGTTAAGCATCAGGCGACCTCGAGTGCGCATCAAGAGGAAACGCAGCTGTCGCGCAAACAGGATAAGTGGGCAGAGGTGCACCATTCGAGAGCCCATCACTGTCCCTTCAGTCTCACCCAAATCTGTAGCTGCAGGTTTCATCCCTGCACAGATTGGGTCTTGCATCTGGACGTTATAGTCTTTAACCTAGTGGGTGGATTCTAATTAGGGATCACAATACTTGCAGATAGCAGCAGCCTATTTCATCACAAAAGTCCTACCGAGATGAAGGGGCTCATTTCTTCGTGGACGAAGTCAAGATCCACCTCCTCTTGAAATGTAGCCTGGTAGTGCTCTTTAAATTCGTCCTCGGGAATAGATCCAAATGGTGAGTTGAAGAGGATCTGCAGACAGCGATAGGCGGTTTGCTTCGTTTTATATTTATCCACAAGACAGACGTAGATTGCCGTGCTGGGTGGGCTTTGCGTTTTCATATCTTCGGACTTGGCTGTCTCCATAATGGGACAGTCACCAGTCATGCTGAGCATTGGATTTTGCGATGTAGACGCAATGGAATGAGGTGTAGAGGACTCGGGCTGTCGCTGAGGCGGCTGTTGAGTAAGAAAGACCTCGGGGAACGATGAGAACATCTCATCTAATGTGCCAAAGCCATAGTCCTGTGGCAGAAGGATCAACTGATAGTGAGTCACGAATGCTGACAATAAATCACTCATTGGCAATCGGTGGAGAACCTGGGATTCAAGGATTTCTAGGAGCATTTGTCTGATAAGAGCCAGACGCAGAGGAGGGGTTAGACTGACGTACCTTTCCCCATTCTCCTCTTGGACCTTCAATTATGGAGAAAGTGGTACATTTTTACTGCCATGCTTCAGAGTATTTGTGCATAAAATGTACGACCTTTCTGTTTATAGGAACAGTTATTAAGAGTGGAGGAGGGAGTATTGAAGGCGTGCGTCCTGGATTATGGTAAGGCGCAACATAATACTGTGAGAAAAGGGAATATGGTACTTCTAAAATGACTGCTTTTTATTCATTTGCCATGACTCCTCTCTGCATTGCCCATGATTGAATGTACGCAGCAATCAAAAAATAAATATTTTTTTATAGCAGGACTTTACTACTCTTCTGACCTTTGAATGAATTAAAATGGTTTCAAAGGCGTGGATTGGAATGAAATATAAAACACTTTGTATGGAACTGGGCTTAAACTGCAAAAAAATACGGAAGTAATTCTGCCTTAACCAGTAAGAATCTTGTATTCTTGCATTTTTGTTGGCGCGTTCACTCAATGAAAGTTATTTCTAATGATTGCTTAAATTCAGGATGCATTTCAAACCTAATCAAGAAGGGCTTGTCATAAGAGAGGTGTAAAAAAGCACAAACTGGTATAATTTTCGTGATGAAGCAGACGAGCAGCGCAATTTAAACCACTGCAGCATTGTAAATCTAGAATACAGAGAAGTTGAAACCGTTAAAAGATGATGTGTACGTCACCTCCACAACATGCGGTAATGCCTCCAGCAGTTCGATGAATTTTGCGAAGCCATACTCTGCCACGCGGCATTGGTGGTTGAAAGCATGGTGGTAGGCAGGAATGAACTTGGTGAAGGCGATCTGAAAGCGCTGCATGGTGGAGAGCATGTCCACCACCTCGACAGCAAAGAGCTGGGTACGCAACTTCTGCTCAGCGGTTTGGATGCGTCGTGGAATAACCACGCTGGGACCCTCCTCCTCCAAGTTTTCCACCACCAGCTTGCTCTCTGCGACGTCATTCAGGAGATCGAGTATGCTACATACCCCATAGTTTGACGGCATGAAGGGCTAAGCAAATAATGCCAAAAACAGACTCTCCTGTTATTAGCAGGCACCAAGGGAAATGTAAATAACAAGCGGAGTGGCTCAGATAGCGTAAATGACTTTCCTTTATTACAATTATTCCAAAGACTTTCAAATCATGCGTATTTTCGCAGGGATGCCATAAGTTATCAGAACGCTCAATTTACAGTAAATCGGCATAACTTACTGATTATTTGATAGAAGTTTCTATGGATTCGTCAGTCCTAATCTGATTTCTACACCCATGATACTCATTTATACTTAATGTTTACGGGTTTCCATTCCTTCTGCACACGAATATTAAAGCTACTCTCAGATTCGTGTGTCTCAAAACATCTGCAGTGACTTGGGCACGACAGTCCGATATTTTGATGGACGATGCTTAATTAATCATAAACCCAAGATGCAGAATTTAACACGTTTTAAAGATAAAGGGGTAATCCAATTTAGAGCACCTTGTGGAAAACAGCCTCATAAATCTGAGGCAGCTTGGTAATCGGGATACACTTCTTCTGTTCTCCCTTGAGCAGCCGCAGAAGGTCATGTGTGAATCGGCGCACCTGGATCACGTGAGTCAGCATGATGGTACGGAGAGGTCCTTCGCCCACGATATGGACAATTCCGCTCAGCGCTTCAATAAGGTCCTGGAGACGAGCAAATCCATAGTCGGAAACGCGGCACTGCTTGCCAAAATGCGCGTGATAGGCGGGAGTGAATTTGTTTAGTGGCAGCGCGCACCCCACCTGCTGCTTCACTAGATCTACCACCTCGCGGCGGAACTGGCGCAGACCTTCGGTGGCAGTGAGGCCCTGAGAGGCCATATCCGTGGTGGTTGACACCGCCGTCACTTCTAAAATGCAGACCACCATTTCAGGAGAAGGGAGACTGATGAGACAGCTATCTGTAAGCTATCACGCTTTGCAGAAATTAATGCTGCATGAACGATACCATATTAATGAAACTCAATTGTTTTACTCCTCAACTGCAGCATATGAGACTGTGTTCCAATGCAAGAGTCACTACGAAAGAAAGCAGTGGAATTTTTTGACAACGCAATCGTTTTGTCAAATTAGTGTAATCTAATGCAACGGGTTGCAACTACGGCCATGGTGGATGAGGTTTTTGCCATTTAAGTTCAGCCGAACACACGCAGTTCCTTTAAGTCACTTTTGATAAAACATGAAACAGTTGTAAGCTGCCATATTTTGTCTATGAAAATGGGCAATTTGCCAATGCAAATCGTCAAGGATCCTTCGTTGTGTAAGTAGCCTGGAGTTCTATTCAATTAGAAATTATATTTATTTTAAAAGTGCATTATAAGGGAAACAACAGCTATTTTTAAACTACTTTACTGACCTAATAAATTATGTCTGTGAGCCACAATTAGACATTAAATAATGGTTCATTTGCATTTTAGCATAATCGTAGATACAATATTAGGGTTTTTGTAAAAGTTGGATGATTCTGCCTTAATTAATCTATATTTCGAATGCCTTTTAAAATTACCGGACTATTTACCTTGTGAACTATCCTGAGATAACGTAACAACCCTTATTCCATTTGCAGTAAGCTGGATGCTCACGTCAGGCACGCAGGTGATTAGGTGTTCCAGGGAAACATAGTTGCTCATTAATACGGAGTCCTTATTTGACTTCTTATCATTGTCGTGTGTTTGTTCGCTGACCGACTCAGCCTTGTTCAGTGGACCAAAGGTTTCCTCGTAGCAGCGTGTAAAACTCATGACGGAGAGGTGGTTATTATGCTCCTGCAGCAGTTGCACCACGTTGGGACGGAGCTCAGCCAAACCAATCATGACCGCTGGCATACGCTGCTGACTGGCCATCTGAATGCACTCGCGGGGATCCCTGGGCTGGTGTTTCGGACAAAGCGGATCTTCAAGCTTCGGCAAAGTCTAAAAACAACAGCAACTAAAATAAAAAGTGCTGTGTCATCTTAAATGACCTAAAAACATTTACCTCAAAATTGCCTTAGGATTACTCTAGGTATTTGTCCCGATTTCGGTGTATAAAATGCTTTAGTCTTTGTAGCGAATGGGACCAGTGTTGAATCTATTGTTTAAATAAGTTTTTATAAAGTTCCTAAGTTGTTCTAATTGAAACACTTTTGTATTTTATAGACATAATATGGGAAACTGATTAAGCATTTGGATGCTGTAGGGAAATCCAGCTAAGATGGATTTTACTTTGTAATTATTTTAAAACTAGGAATATTTGTCGCAGAATATTAGCAAAAATCACTCTTTAAATTAAATGAAGAGTTGTGCTTGGTTCAAGATCAAACAATTTCCTATTATAGGTTCCTCATTGAATTCAAAGGAAGAAATTGTTTTGATTTGATCCAAATTATTCACATCATCAAGTAATGCAATTAAAAGTTTTATTTGCTCTTTTTCAAGATAGACAAAGCTTGTGTATGCACAAGTCATTTACATAAAAATTAACAAATATCCAAACGCATACCCCGGTATGAACTTGTGAAGGCACCATGTAGCCAGTTTTATCGTCCTTTTTCTTACTGGATTGCGACGTATCTGATTGGGACCTCATCATATACATTTTCGTATTGTATTGATACCGTTGCTGTGTTGATTGGTTTGGTGCAAAATATCTTTGACTATGCCTTTCGTTTTGTCCTTTTGGATTCAAAAATCCAACGCGTATTCTACGATAGCCGATCTTACGGCGGTTTAACTGGGATATCGCCATTTGGGCGTCCTCCATTGTTGACACCTTTACAATAGCAAAACATCCAGATTCTGGCTGACGTATTACTTGGAGTTGAAATGTATTTTGAATGACAGACTGAACATGGACGATCAATATGCGTCGCAACTCTGACGGAGACACAGAAGGTTCAAGATTGGATATAATTAGCTGAATTAAATTCGAGTTCCTTCCATGGAACTGCTGGTTTGTAAACGCATGCACTGGCCCAACAAGTCCATTTGTCACATTCTCTTGGGTCGTGTGCATTATTAAGCGTGATTAATTAGGATCCCAAGTAAAAATTTTCTAGAAGTCTTTTTTGCTTGAGGATGGAGTAAAATATGTGTAGCAGCCTATGGGCTTAATGCCATACCATACAAACGTTGTAGGCAACAAATTTACCAAAACTTTGGTAAAATAGGTTGGATGTCTAAAAAAGGCAGAATGCAAAAAATATGTAGCATGGAGGAGGGTGCTTTGTGAATTTAAGCAAAGGCCGTCTTAGAATTAAAGGGTTCAGTGGTAAATTGTATTTAAGGTTAGGTTAGAACAAAACACATTTAGCCACTAGATCGAGTAGTTTTGTTCCCGATTACTAGTAGTTCTTAATAAGAGCACTGCTTAGACCCTGAATTATTCAAATAACTAATTTCTTTGTCATGACAAAGTTGTCATTTCTAGCAATGTCATCACTATTTTAGCAGGTAATGTCGGCATAAAAATTTGGCTGAAATAGTAAACAAATAGTGGGCAGTGGTCAAAATTTTGTGGCAAAAACGTACACTTTACTCTGCGCGAGTATTTGTAACTAAGGGGAATTCACCTTTGAAAGCTTGCTGCTTGTTGAAATGTGGCCTTTATCAAGGAAAACAAAAACCAATATTTATTAATGACGTCTTCAAAATTTGGAAAACAAACCCCGTAAAGATTATTGACGTAAAACAATTATTGGTTCTTTTGTCAAAGCATCGAAATGGCTCATAGCAGCAAGCAAAATGCATCATCATGCGAATTTTATATCTTCAAACAGTTTTAAAAGAATCCTAAAAGCTATCAGTTGCAATCAGTCATATGTTGCTGGATTTAGTAGTCAAAAGCATCTCCTTAATTCTTAGGCACACTTTTCCCCCCAATATTTTCACACCATCAGCATATTTTAATGTGGTTTTAGTGGATAAACTGCATCGTAATTAATCATATGAAAGCGCCTTACAAAAGCTGTAGCCCCCTTAGGCTTTTCCAAAGACGAACAAAGTCATAGCATTTAGGCAGAATTGGTATTGACGGCGTGAACCAGGGCTTAAGGCCACTGCAATGTCCCGAAGTCTAGCCCACCCGGTGAAGTTAGTGGCAGAGCACCTAGACGGCTTCTTTACCAAATCCGTGAGTTAGACAACCGATGTATCACAAAAGCATCCCCATATCTCTGCACACGCCCCACAATCGACATCCCAGCTCCCAGATAGGGTTGACCCCGATCCAGTTTAGGCCGGTCACTTCTAAACTCCGTTAAGCCTAAGCACCCTTCTTAATTAAGTTTGACCTTGGTGAGCGTGCGGTCATCCAGTCAGCTGTTGGATGTTTGGTGAATTCCGTCCAAACTTCTTGCAAAAATGCTCACTCACTCCGCGACTTGGAAGATGTCGAATCGCACCCGCTAGTGTTGCAGCACGAGTCTCCGCACGGGAGCCCTCAAACCCATGCAGAACGCTGCATAGCAGGCATTCCCGGCTCCTTCCGAAAGGATTCTGTTTATTTTTTACGTCCACTATACCAAATGCGCCGCTTTTAAAAATAAAATTCAAGTTATGGGTGTGACACATGACTGGCTGCTGGCGACATCAAAAGTTGTTGTGAAGATGTTAATGCATAACAAGGCCGGAGAAAACATCCGTCGCAAGCATTCGAAAGCATCACCGTTTCAAACCGCACTCTGACTGATTGTCCACCAATCCTCACCCATGGATGGTAATTTTTTCTGAGTGTTATTCAAATGAGACCATGGAGAGCCGGCGGTGTTTTGAGGAGGAAGTGGTGGTGGTGGTGGTGGTACTGGTAATGGATAGGTATCCTCCACACTGCTCCCGCCACTCGATGACGTATCATTAGCGCTAGGACAGAGCAGGGCCTCATTAGACTCAGCCATCGGTACAGTTAACATGCCCTGCGACTGCACCGACACCGGTTCTATGGTCTCCTGTTCCGCCGACCGCTCGGGTTTTTCGGGGGCCGCCGTTATCGACACTGGCGTTGGTTCGTGGATCACAGGGGTGGAAGACTTGGCTCGAGTTGATGGCGTCATACAACGCATTGCAAACTTCAGCTCTTTCCACATTTCGGAGAATAGTGCTCCCTAAAATGGGCGATTAAACTTCATCTACTTTCAATTACAATGTGCTCTAAGACATTTTAGTGTCTTCCCACCTGTGATTTCACGCATGCCTTGTTGTGCACGCAGAATTCGATGACAGAGACAATGAAGGCCCAGAAGAAACCAATGATGAGGAGAACGAAAACACCGCCGACCTGTTCGATGCCGAGGGGTTTGGCCTCTTTGCTGCCCTCCTTGGCATTAGCACAGGGCTCTGAGATGTTAAACTCGGTCCACCATTTTCGTTTCAACTGGTCCAATGTCTGAGCCTTCTGCAGCTTCAAAATCGACTCGGATATCGGATCACGATAAGGGGAGCCTTTACGTATGTAAAAGAATTCAAACATGAATGAGGTACATGCAAGCTAACAAAAATACGCGAAATGTGTGTCTAAAAACGTCATTTGGGGAAAGAGATCAATCCATGACAGGGTTTGAGCTTCAATGTCACTTAACGTGGGCCAATAAATGTTTTGAGTCGTGCGCTCAGGCTTCAGCTATGCCTATCAACAGACCCAAGCTCCATTTTTAATCTGATTGTTAAATTTCATTGAACATAGCTTTATCTTAACATTTTTTTTGTTAAGAACTCACACAAATATCACTTCCACTTGCTTACGATGAGTCCATACGACGAATCTGCAAATCCATCAATGGATATTATGACCTTTGTGAGGAATCTCTATAAGCAGCGGCGACATTGACATTTGACAGGAACAAGGAATCATTAAAAATAATAAGAGCTTATGCGGAATCGGTTCCATTATTCAAAAAAACTATTCAGGTTTGCTGAAATTTGTTTAGAGTTTTCAGAAACACTACATGCTTTATAGAATCGGATACAACTCAAAACTACTGTTAAGTTTCAAACAGCTTAACATTGAATTGGAGATTTAAGTTAAAAGTGAGTGTAAATGAGCTTAAGAAGCAGAAGTGCACACACTATTTATCCACAATTGGCCCATTGGTGCTCACCGTGTCGTGCGCTGACACTATCTAATGTACTATTTGCATCCACTTAACTGTTGCTATGTCAACAGTCAGACATAGGAGAGCAGGGGGACAGACGCGTCCCAAAAAGAAGTACTGACCAAATCACGTCTTAATAAACGATGAACAGTCTTAGAACAAATTATTCAAGCAAAGTGGAACCATACCCTGTTGCAGCCCAATGCCATAACCCTTGGAGTCTAGCTGACGGCCAATTTGCATGAGACGGCAGTCGCGTTTGTTGTAGAACTCGTTCCACGATGACTCGAGGACAAAGACGTAGTCGCCTTTGAGGACGCGTTCAATGCCCTCCTCGGTGTTCTGAACAAAAACATCGTTCTTCGACATAAACTCCCACATCCTTTGGAACACTGGGATTCTGGAGTACTGGAAATGAAACAGTCGCGCCCTTCAACACATGAAAGTCTGAATATCCTGCAATAGTTTAAATGTTCTTTTAGTAACTTTTCCGGAATTTAATTTGTCAATTTATATTAAGGGCAAATTTCATAAACGAGCTTTTGCTGCAAACAGAATATTCCTCTCATTCATTCTGTGCACGATCAAGTCCTAGTAAAGCCCTTCATTTATGTCCTATGGAATGGGCCAACATCTGCACTTTGAAACGTGACTATTCCTTTGGCATTCAAACAGATTTTAGTTTATTTTAACTTCACTGCAAAGCGAACGAGAATATATATTGTCTGCCCGCTTGGCCCTTTAATGTGTTTGAGTTCACGGCATCACTCGAGAATATGGAAAGACGGAGCTCCTCTTTCGCGTACCTTAAAGAAATCGTGACTGGAGCCGGACTGCAGCGTACCGTATTTAATCTTGGTCTGAGCCACGAGGTCTTCCACACTCTCGATGGGCAATTCAGTCGTGTCAACAGTCAGAAAAGCCGCCAAGTTGGCTGTGTAGGTGGAGATGAGGATCAGCGCAAAGAACCACCAGATGCCCGTCAGTAGTCGTGTGGATATGGTATGCGGAGCCATCTCCGTACCTAATGGCAATGCACAGAAGAGTTCCGCGTTCAAAATTTAAATCTCAAAAATGTGGTCAGTGCTGACTCGTAGGTGATGGAGACATAAGAATTGAAGGAAGGGAAAGAAATAAAAAAGTTAAAGAAGCTGGTTACATTATCAAGAGAGTAAAGGCGGGAAAATTGTTTTCTGACAAACTTCAAGATGGTTGGTAAATAAAGAAGTTCTTTGGGAGCAGAAGGTGAGCGAATTTATTTACTTTGTTTAACTTGATGCCCGGGACGAGATGAGCGAGTGAGCATCGCACATGGAAACTTAAGCTTACCCATTTACGATTTATTAATTGCCATAAAAGCAGGGTAGTACTCGTTTAAAAACCCAAAGCTTGGAACCTGGCCGAGCTGAAAGTGTCATCGGCTTCGTAGTGTTATTTAGGAGTAGATAAGTAAGCTTATTTTAAAGCAAACAACACGGAGCCTGGATGTGAGCAATCCCAAAAAACAGAGGAGCACCTTGATTGAGAAGAGGTGTGATAAAGAACCAGAAACTGCTGAGCACCGTGAATTGATTCTCTTTTTCCTCCGAGAAGGCCTCGCAAGGATGAGGATTTTGCCACTCGTAGGGACTGAGACGAGCAACCAGGAAGAGCCCAACGGAGACAACGATGTAGGTCGTTATCACGTAAGCCCACACCTGAAGAGAAGAATGATGACGATGGGGAGTTTACTGAAATTAAGCCTAAATTATTAAACTAAAACCTGTAGTCTCTTCTTATTCTAAAGGAAGATTTATTCCAATCTTGGTAAAGTGAGTTAATGTACAAATGATTAAAACAAGCTTTAAGGTGTTGTCGATGAATATAAATAGGGCACGAACATGTAAAATGAGATTATTTCATATGGCAAACAGTTTCGAGCACTGGATATCTACAATGAACACGAAACTAAAAGTCGTTTACCCAATTACCTTATTAATTTAGCTTTGGATTCCATAACAAAGCCTGCATCTTAAACATTACTAAATCTGAAATAACGCAGCGACCTCTACAAAGCACAACTTTCAGAAAGTCTGCTTCCCCGCGAAATGCGCACACCTTTTGTTGGAAGCGGAAAAACGAATCACCTGTGACGGATAAAGGGACCCACGTCGAGGTCCTTGTTTACTGATTCCTCTGGTTTGAAACTTAACAGGATCCAAGCACACTCGCATAAACACCGTTTTGTAACATGTGGGGACTCAATATTAGGCCCTTGGATCTATCTAAGCTTGAAGTGCTACTCGGGAAACGGCTGTAGCTGATGGAATTGTCAACACAGGAGAAGGTTTCGACTGCGCCAACTTAGCCACCCGCAGCAGCCACACCATCAACAGAGAACATTGTTAATAGCGTAGTGAAGCTTCACTATGATCCGGAGGGCAATAACATCCCGTTTGATTCATAGCTTACTCTCCGAGGTGTATCAACGCCCAACCACTCTGAGGCAGGGGATACTACTTTGATCCAACCCGAGGGCTGCCTGATGTTTGGCAATCCTGCTGTTCTACCCAAGTCACTACATCTAAGACCACGGTCCCAATTTTACACTTGGCATTCTGGCGTAAACTGCATGAAGTCCATGGCCAGAAGTTTTGGTTTATTGGCTACACAAAAACATATTTATTTGGATAAAAGCTGTCTACATTACCGAACAGTGGCGAAAGACCCTCAGAAATCCCACCGATGCCCTAGCCTCACCTGGAGAGGCCCTGGCCAAGACTACACCTCAAATTCGCCAGCCCATTTGGTGGGTTATCTTCACTTTATTTTGGTGAATATCTCTAATGCGGTCGGAGACGGTGTCTGTGGTCTCCCCTAAGGCCACCAAGTCGCTACAAGTGTTGCGCAGTATCTTCAGCCAGCGCAGCCTGTCAGAGGAGTTATTCACAAACTAGGAAACAGAGGTCGCTTTGTGGGAATTCTAGGAGTTTTGCGTTAACACGCCAATGCGCATATTTGATCTCCACCACTTCGCCTCCAATCCACCAAGCAAGAGAATCTTCACTGACACATTCAAGCGAGCAGTATTGAGGTCAGAAGGGAAAGAAGCAACTGCCGATACCGACATTTCCAAAAACACCGAATGACTGTACAGAACCGAGAAGCTCCAAAGGATTTGCATCGGAAGCTTCACCAAAACTCAAAACAGGCAACAGCGACCAGTTACATCTGAGACGTACAGAGGAACCAGCGGCTCAACATGGTACTCCACAGATGTACATAGTTGTGAACACCGCCTCCACCCTTGGACTATACGTCAAAGAGAAATGGGTGTAAGAGACCCAGATCGGCCGACTTTCGCGTGCGCACACACTTTACACTCTGCTTACTCATACACGTCGACAGACAGCCATACCGACCGGACCCAAGGTCACGCGCATCACCACCACATCACAACAACGGGACATTTCCAAAATGGATCAAGCAATGACTTTATTCCGATTATGAGGCTAAAAAATACATAATAAAGTTTGAACGAGCATAAAGTGTCCCTTGCCTACGCCCATTTAGCAGTGGTGTATCAATTTCCCCGAACGGGATAAGATTCCCAGAGGATTACTTAATAACTCATAAACACAACAGCCAAAAAGCGATCAAGGTCAAGTGAGTCAGTGCATTTTGGAGTAAATTTATCTATCTGGATGAATTTTGTCCGTTGCGATTGAGAGAAGAAAAGAAAAACATTCGAGCTCCCTAGCCACTTGATCTCCCGTAGGAATAATGCAATTTGCAAGCTCAACCTAACCTTGCTCAAAATAGAAGGCAGAAAGGCTCTTTCTTTCTTTCCAGGAATCTGTATTCTCTATGCTTGAAATTCATGCAGGCTGCAGTTTTCGATGCCTTGCTGAAATCTCGGCAACAATTAGAGCCAAGTCAGAAGTTAGTTGGTGTACTGATGGTGGACAAAGTGAGCGCCACTTCTAACAAAATTTGCGGATGAGAGAAGGCAGAGAGAAAGCGCAAAAGGCAAGAGGGCTTCAGGAGAGTTGTTCCAAACTAACTCAAGTTTTTTTCATCCGTGTGTCAAAAGAGACTGGAATAGTAAAATCTCAAGGTCCACATTAAATGGTCGGAAATCAGTCAATGCATTTAATTAGCCCTGAAGAAGTGTGTTTAATTGTATAGGATAAGCCGTTATAACGTTCTTGTAAATCCGACAAAACAATCCAAGCTGCTAAGTAGCTAGCCCTTCAACATCGGCAAAGTGACACATATGCTATACTTGAGCAATTAGCGCAATCTGTCATCTGTCTGTCAACGAGCGATTACAAGCTACGATAAATTCGGACATAAAAATGGAATATTGGGAACTTGTGAAAGTGAATGGGTAGTGAGTAACTCACGGTAGGTGAGAGCGGTTGAAGGAAGGAGAAGATTGAGGGCTTTTGAGTTTTCGGTCGCATGAAAAGGAGACTCCCACCGAGGGTCATAAAGGGCGTACTGAAATCCAGAACCTGCTCTCTCTCATACGTAATCGTCAGAGCTGCCACGGCCATATCAGCTTCCTGTCAGTAAAATTGGGACAATTTGTACGAATGCCTTTTGTAAGGAAAACGCCACCCATACAGTTGATTGATGTGTGTGTGGTACTCCTGAGGGGATAATGAACGTAAAACAACTGGATTTCAACTTCTTAGCAAAGTAGTGGCTCTTATGCCATCCGTTTCTCGATGTTTCCCTAACAGTGTATGGTAAATATCAGTCTGCACCTCGTACTTTTGTCGGTAATAGGCTCGTTAAATGAATCTACCGTGCAACAACTTTGGTCACTGTGTTTTAGAGCAGTTTCGTAAAATTTGGAATGGCAAATCAACTAACTTTTGATTGACTACTCTGGTGTTTTTAGTTTCTCACTAGTCAGCTAGCACATCAGTATCATGGAGGCCCGCTCATTTCATTTTTGCTACAAATGGCGCAACCCTTCACCTTATTTACAACAAGGCCTTTTTTTAAGGGCTAAAGGTCACCATAATTCCGGGATTAACTCGGACACCACGATGTAGCAAAGTTATGAGCAATTTTTCTGGGAAAAATGGAGGAAGAATGTAAAGCCACTGCATCTTACGCCTCTGTGTACTACGCCGACAATGCCGTTGTAGTAGACCTCGCCCGATTCGTTGACGTGACGTGAGCCATAGTGATCCATGGTGATATCAATGGTATAGTTAAAGCCAACATCCTGAGAGATGAGGTTGAGAAGATCAACGCAGTAGCCTTCCCAGGCATCTGGGGTCTTCAGAGGCTGGCCGTAGGCATCGAACTTCTTGGGAATTACAAATGGCGTGTCCTAGAGGAAAGTAGACAATAGAATTTCCAATCTCCAACTACTGAATTAACTCGAAAGAATTACTGCCAATTGGAGAGATTGGTATCACACTGAATCACCACGCTTACTCACTTTGCATATTTGATTTCGTTCTATGTAATTTGACGCCACTTTCATCTTGAAGGTGGTATGAACCCATTGGCGTTTGCGCGATAAGCTAAAGGGTCTACTCGAATCAAGCAAATAAAATGCCTTACCACGATTTAAAACGATGGTGCTTTAAGCCCAGAAATGTGTAGTACTGGGGACTTTAGGCATGGCAAAAGGATGAAGAGAGTCTTACGCCGCCGACATGACGTACATAAGCAATACAATTCAAGGAGTTACGTACATTTCGACCATATATTGAGCATGGATTCGTCGTAATTCAGAACACCTAAGTGGATGTTTTCTAATGGTTGGTTATTTACCGTAAAGGACTAGAAGAGGTGCTCGAATTAGAGGCTGCTGCTCCTTTTACCTTGTATGGTAGGTTTTCAACGAAATAATATCTTAAAATAGTTTTGAGCGGTACTTACTATGAAGATCACGTGATGGGCTGAGGCTACAGGCATGGAAGAATTGGCCTTAATCAGATTTTCCCAAAAAATCCATCACATGTTTCTAGCAGTGTCCGAACAACAAAGCTAGATGTTTGGAAGAGGGGAGTGGGATAGAGTAGGAAGCATAGTTCACTGAGGCTTACAAGAAACAACAAAGGCAGGGGACCTATTCCCCTCATCTGAGTCATCTCTGAAAGCCCTCATAAGCACTGACTCAGACGGTCCAACAAACATCCCTCCTACGGTCTTACAGCGAGGTGAAGAGAACGGCAATTGGATGCTTTAGTGCTAAGACCTACGCATACCGCCTGTGAGGCACTGAATTCGCTAATAATAATTGATGCAATCTCAACGAGAGAGGGAGGGATGAAAATAGACCTCCTCATCTGTCAGCAGCAGCGGGAGGGAGGATAGGCGTTGACACGATTCAGTCGCGCAGACTCGCGAGAACACCATTCCTAAGTTTGGGAATGTCCCCCATCATCGGTGAATCATTCGAATAACGGTAGCTCACGCTTCATTGTCGACAAAATTAGCCAAGCCCCGAACACAATCACGTCTCACTACCGAAACCTCCCTCACCATATCAGCAAATGGGCTGCCACTTCGATGGCGTCATTACAAGTCTGAAGAACAGTGGCACGTTCGTCTTCTTTTCCAAGTCCAGCATTTGTTGGCTGACCAGGTGGCGGAGAAATATCTCGTAGTCAAGGTTTATAAATTACTGCCATAGATATGAAGCATACCGGAACAGTTGTTACCCTGAGGGTGACCGTTGTAAGCGGCTTCTTTGGGATCTTCTTTTTCTTCTTTATCGGGTGAGTAATCTGCAGACGATCTCTGTGCGTCCAGTAACCAATCTGAAACGGGGGAAGAATTCTCTTACCTACTAATACCAATGTTATTCACTGAAGTTGACTATTCTCCTCTTTCATCACACTTACTTCTTGCAGTCCTGAGTTCTGCAAACTAAGGATACTCATATTAAAGTTTGACCGATAACTGTGACGATCAAAGAGTATCTGGCCGGTTATAGTGGGGATTTTCGATGAGTTAAACTAAAAGAAAAGAAAAACAATTAAAATATTGTATTCTGGGTCCACTTTCACACCATCCCTTTTGCTTATCAATTAGTCGAAGGTCCCGTGATCGCACTTGCATTAAAAGTATTCACCTTATGACCAACACAGGTTGCACTGACAAAGGCGTAATTCCCCAAAGGAGTGAAGCGATGCAGGAATCTGGAACTAAATTCTGTGATATACTTTTTGTAAAAGATAGCAAAATTTTTTGACACTCTACCAGCCCCTTCAACCTAGAATCTGCATTTGATAACAAGGTTTATTTCGGTAAAAAAAAATACCGAAGGCGATCAGCTTGCTTAGAGCTGAAATTGCGTTTAGGGCCAAGGAGACGGAGGGGGAGGTGAGATACTCACGGGAGGTGGAGATGAGAGGGCGGGCGTTGTGAGGGGATTTGGGTTAGCGAGAGGCCTATCGCTGCCCTCGCCCACAATGCGGGCAAACCGGGATTGCGGTGATAATTAAGTGCGTAGTTGGTGTTGGTGGTGTGCGCGTTGTCGTGGTGTTTTGTTCTGTGCCGAGTGAGCGCGCTAGAGGGTGTGAGCGTGAGAAGAGCCTAGCCTTGCCAAAAACGCCAAATTGCCAAAAAAATGGGATAAAAGTGCAGGAGAGCTAATAGCTCTCTCTCTCTCTCTCTCTGCCTTGAGATGATGGCAACAAGTGAATAGTCAAGATTTATGAAAAATGGTGCATCACATAGTAGGTAACTGAGTCGAAGGGAAAGTCAACCAGCACAAGTGTCACAAAGACTAACCCATGGACGATAAAAAGTCCCATGAACCAAGGAATAAATCTGCAAGAGTAATCCGTAGCAGTGTTGTTAAGTCTATGAAGACTCTCGCACGATGCTGGACATCCGCGATTTATTTGGGGCTTTCACTTGTTTGTATGCAGGTAGCACTGTTTTTATACCAACCGGTGGCATACAGTTTTTAAATGCAATTTTTGTGTGTTTTTACAAAAAGATAAACGCACAAATACGATTGAAGCGACGTTTAGAATACGGAGGAGCAAAATCGTGCTTACAGCTTTAACCTCTCGCACCAAGCGCTCCCCATGCGGCCAAAAAACAGCACCCTCGCTGTCACAAGTCAGCGCTCCCGGTCGTGCCGTGATGGGGTCCTTTAAGGTCAAGAGTGTCAGTCCGAACAAAAGCATTGAGTCGTAGATGAGTGACGCTGATGCCTTAATTTTACAAGGAATACACAATTAACAAAAGTGCGCCTTGTTGAAATTTTAAGGTCAAGATACAAGGGACCCAATAATATTTTAAAGTAGCACCTTAAATTGGTTTAGGTCAATTCCCTCCCCTGCGCCTCCGTAGCTCACTGTGAGATGAATAAAGCAGGTCAAAACAATTAAACCACTACGATTAACTACTGAGAGGGATTGTTCTCAACCTCTTACCAATTCAAATATTGTGTGCTTTTTCCTAGGGCATTAAGTCCGTTAAAAAGTGAGGCATATTTGACTGAAGGTTAAAAAAATACACAAGGGAAGGTGGAAACACTTTACCGTTAGGAATGGGAGAATATCCGAGTACCTCTGTGCGCGCTCGATTTTGTTGATTGTGGAACGGAGATTTTCGACAAACGGACCACGTCCATACGGCTCGTGAACACCGACGTTGGGTATAATGGAGAAGGTTGATATGCTCGCACCATCGTCTATCTTGAAGGCACTCAAGTCCAGAAGATGGGTATCCTTAATTAATGCGAGGACAACTGTAGCTGGTCAAGCATTTGAAAATCTGGTACAACAGATACCCGGCACTGGATCTCGGATTTGCACAAATTAAGCTCGTTTTCTCTTCCACACATTAACTCTCCTCCAAACCAATTCTCAGTCACCCTCCTCTACAATGGTTTTAAACAAACTCCAGCGTTCTTATTCCGCCCCTTATAAGTGTAGTTATATATGGGCAAATGCCCAGAGAACTCCCCATTCATCGCGCTGAGACGAGTACTTTAGTTTATTTTAACCCATGGTGCCATGGTTACACACGGTGGTGAATCTGCCCGTCTGGTGCGCCTTCTACCCGCAATGGTGTCCCTCTGTCATGATTAACGCTTCTTCCAACCACTTTAAACACGAAGTGACGACTCCAAAACAAAGTCGTAGGGGGAGCCAGTACGCCAACCTCATAATATCCTCAAACACGATCAGTTGATGCCTTTCAGCTTCAATGTTTGGGTCCAATATTTTAACGTCTCTCACCTAGGTTATGAAAGCGGGTTGATGAGCTCACCTTTTTTGACTTTTCGGAAACCCTTGCGTGACATGAGCTACGTGCTAACATCAGCAACACTTTTTATGAATTTCTCCATCTCTAGATGATTAAAAAAACATCTCCAAAACAACTGGAAATATCATACTCTGTGATTACACATTTGAACCTTATTAGCTAACCGCATTTTGTCTGATAAAATTTGTTCCAAATTGTCAGACGGTAACGACTCGCAACCTTTGAGACAGGAGCTTACCCAGTCGGTGAAGACGTAGTTGTACTGCTCTCCGGTCATGTTGTGGACGTAAGCCTACAATAAAATGTACAAATGGAAAATCCTGGCCTTATTAACAAGTAAAAACGAGGAACACATGATCTTCCATTCTGAGTTTTGAAGATTTTCGAGAAATTGCGAATTTTTCTGAGTGAGTGTTGGTTACGAACAATGGCCACTGAAGGTGCTCACAAATCGTGAGTTAGGGGACTTGCACACAAATGTCGGGCCGGTTTCAATGCTAACTAACTGGACTACGCCATGCAGTGGCACAAAGTTTTGAGATTGTTCAACGTGCTTTACAAAAAAAAACAACAAGTGGACGTTAGAGATCAGTAAAATTGACACAAACAAGCTGAATGTGCGAATAGAACGACAAACACGCTGAGTACCAAAAGAGAAATTGGCACTTACCAAAACCAGAAAGTCCTTGGCATACCAGTAGGGGATATCGAGCAGGAAGTTGCGTGCATCGGAGCTTGCCAATTCGGCGACAATGGCTTTCCATTTGAAACGGTCTGCTCCAAGCGTCCGGATGACCAAAGTACCCTCAAAGTTATTCAACCACGCCGTGTGCTTCACTATGTCTGTGAATTGGATAACAAAATGCTTCTATGTAGAGCAATCTGGAGGCCTTGGCACAAACCAGTAAGGTCGCTAGAACTCAGAGACAGGCTAGAAAACATCTGTCATAGTATGAGTTGTGCCCTACTCTGGGTGGGAATCACCCAGCTCTGTTCGTGCTTAATTTTACCGTTGAAGAATATACGAACACACGTACTCCTCCCACTGCTGACTATTTCCAAAATGGAAAACCATAATAAACGATTATTTCCTTCTCCTACTACTTTTGCTAGTTTCAGGTACTGCTTCCGCTACAGTGCAAAAACCACGGCTTCTTTCCAACCTCAAGTTTCACCGAATGGAGCGAGCTGATGCCGGCAACTTACTTTAATTGCTACATAGCATAAGTTTAATAGGCTTAAGTGAAGGTTCACAAACTATCTGTCTCTAAAACATCAGTCTCGATAGGGAATAGGATACTGCAAGGACATATGCTAGAAAAAGAAAAGTTGCCGGTGTTTTTGGCTGAACAAATCATTCGAATTTCACCAAGAGATGGCGCTTAGCGACTTCTAATCATCCCACCAACTCTCACCCATAAATTATCCTCAGATGAATCTCCCCAACTCTCTGGATACGGCAGTGTGACATAAGCAAATTATGAGAGAGTTCCTTTTCTCGACATAATTTAGGCGCATGCTGACCTGAAAAACCCAGGTTTTTAATGGTAATAGATAATTAATGGTTTCAAACCAGTGATTTACTCGTGAACTTAACCCCTTGAGCCAGGTTTTGCCTGCTTAAATTCTCTTTGACACGGTCTTAAGCTTGTCCAGCATGTCGGATCGCAATTGGTATGTGGGCACAAATGATTTTCGAGTTCGCAGTTATGCCAAAGCAATTGAAATACGTGGCGCTGGCGACAGATGCGGATTGCGTTGATTATGCATGTGATGTTGAATTCGTGGACTAGTAAAACCATCATAACCGCTGCTGCCACAGGACCACCACTCCCACAGCAGTTGCTGCTACTGCTGCGTTATCAGATGAAGCCGTGCGCAGTTCACTGCCTCGGAGATGCGCTGCCACTTGCTAACGCCTGCCCACGCGCGGGTGCGCGCAAGCTCGTACGTCTGATTGTCGCCCTTTAGTTTTCAGATTTCAGAAACCCATGAAAATAGACGTCAAAAAGTAGACTTTGCGTGTTTGCGTGTGCGTGAGAGATAGAGAGGAGCGCTCACACTATATTCGGCACCAAAGGTTCTGCATAAGTGAGACAGAAAAGGGAAACACAAATTAAAATATGTAAACAGTTTAGACGCGAAATGGGACCGCTCGGCGGCTAGGCTTGGAGCGTTGGACATGAAAAACGATATCCCGCTTCTCCTAAACCACCAAAAACACCAAAGAGTTTGCTTTATAACTTTCAATTTATCAAGCTGAAAGAACATCAGTGTGGGGCAAAACTCATAGAATCCAACAAATCGCTAGGTGAATATACTACTAAAATCCCTTTTTTTTTCCTGAGACGGTGAGTTTCTTCTAAAGCAGCTATTCTCAAACAGCGTTTTTTTCTCGCACTAAAAATAAAATTAGGTGATGAAATAACTAATTTCGTCGACTAAATAAATGCCGAACAACTATGTACTGATCAGCATTGCATGGTATCAGGATATCCAACTTTGCTGATTAAAGGATATAGGCCTAAAGGAAAAATAGTTTTATTGAAACCCACATACCAGTCCCGCTACATTTATTGTAGCTTTAAGTCCCGCTGAAATGTGCTTGAGAAAACGTTACCGTTCACCGTTTCAGAAGTTTTGGCCTGTGTGGCTAACGAAACCGCCCTCTCAGTTGCCCCGTGAACGCCCTCTCAATTACTCCCTCCTGATTGGCTGAGATCGCGTTAGGTGCACGTTAAATGCACCAGCAATCTCCCCAAGCTCAAGGTCAATCAGTCACTATAGCTATGGGTGACTAAGCTGACTTTGTGACTCGGGATCGATTGCGAGCTTGTGCTGACTCCACGGCCTCCGCAGCCCGGTTGCTAGTGCCGAGCGCTCGCCTCGTACTCCCGCACTAAATCATACACATCGATCTTTCTCTGTTGATTCTCCTTGTTTCCATCGTGTTCGGTAACCATCATCCATCACATCACAATTCCAAATTGTTTTACCAGCCATCTCTACAATTGTGCTTATTTATGCGTGGCTCCCAAATCAGTAGTTAGTGCACGCTCTCGTAAAAAGGTGGTCAAGATTATACAGGCATGCACAGACTAAACTAGCAGATTTTGTATTCAATTTTGTATCAGGTAATCAGCCCAATGAGAAAGGAAATTAGATCTAAAACAGCGCGGAAGTTAAAGTCCAGTTGGAAACTGATAGATAATGTTCTAAAACACCTTGAGGTTATGATTCGCGGCATGGAAGAAACAGTGACTTCCAAACACCATTACTAAAATTAGAACAAAATTACGATTTCGTTTGGCTAAAACGAGGTTTCTGACCTAAAAATACGGTTCTGAGTCATGGCAAGCCTAAGTGTCGGAATTTGAATATTGGGGTTTTCTACGGAAGAGACAGAAGACCTACTCCCATAGTCGGCCAGAACGAGTACCACATGATTCCACTTGGAGTAGCTGGAAAGGTACTCGAAGACTGCGTCCCCGAAGGCGTCGTGCGAGGGATGGATGTTGATGGCAAATCGGCTATTGGAGCGGTCCGTGTCCCAGTGTGTCTCGATTATGGGGATGTGGAATTGCTTGGAGACCATCCGCACTGACTGACGGATTAACGGGTCGGGCGGCGACACGAAGGCCACCACTCCCACCCTGAGCAATTCGCAGGCTGTCAGAAAAATCATAAAATTTATGCAAGGTGAAGGTTCCCGTGATCACGACCACAAGTCATGAAACCGTAACAATGACCCCATTCCATTAAATTGTTTAACGCCTGTAGGGTCGCTTATTTATGAGATTGGCTTACCGTGTCAGCAGTCACTTTACAATACTCTCCAAGCAAGGCAAATTGGAGAGTATTATACTTGAAATAAAATTGCACAAGTATTTACATCAGAGAACGAAATAGAAAATCCAAATCACTTAGAAGGTCTGGCTGTGTACATAATAAATGGAAAAAAGACACTCAGAAATCTCATATGCTTAGAAATTTGGAGTATTTGTTACCGTCATTAGTTGCTGTGAGGAACTTTTCTTTGGGAATCCAGATGACTGCCGGCTTAATGAGTGGTTGACCACGGCTATCGTCCTTGGAGTAGATCATCTTCACAGTCTGAAGGCCACTAAGCATGGCCTGTTCCGTCCCGTGGTCCAGCGAGTCAAGGACGGCTCCTATAAAAAGTTGCAGAGGGATAAAAGACGTGACTAAAACGTCTTAGCCGCATCTCAGCCTATCTGCAAACCATGCTGTAGGAATGGAGCTTCGACTGTCACCAACCATTATGGCGTGAAAGCAACGTTCCCATGTCGACACAATTAGTGTATGCGACTTAGCTGGGAGTAATTTAAGAGCTCCCGGCTGACTAATTACCTATGTAAATTTTGAATAAAGAATACGTGGTATTTATACCTTAATTGCAATACACAGAATAAAAAGCAGATTTTACGCAGAATCACAAAGTGGCAAAAATTAACACCAGAATCGACTATGCTTGAATGGACGTTGATGAAACTGTTCGTCGAGTTACTTGCGTTACTTATTCTTATGCCTCCAATATACGCTTTCAGTCATTGAAAATTTTTTCCTTTCAATAACCGACTCCTTTTATTTACTTTGAGGGAATGAAATGGAGTCAATGGGGAAGTATGTCGCACCCGGAAGAGTAAGCATAACTTCACCTCAGTCATGCATAACCGGGTTTGGTGAATATTAAGCTTATACACACCTTAAATAATACGCAAGCAGAAGACAATGAACATGTGTTTTCACTTCATTTCATTCTGCAATGCTACGTGTAATGGCATTGATCTGAGAGGATATTCAGAGAGAGCAATATCTCCCAGGATTTGCAAAGAGCTTGAAGTCAAATTATGACATCATTACTTCTCGCACCACTTATACCTTCAACCTTGACTAAGGTGTATTCAAGCAACCGCACCAAATACTTTGTTTTCAAACAACACTGCGTCTTACGAGCTCACATTTACCCACCTATTATGAAGTCACGTACACCAACATCCACTATGCTCCAAATCAATCCCTTTACCTGAGCGCCTATAAGGTCGAGAAACACGCCATCACACAAAGTTTATAGCGGGATCAAAGTTGACCCTCTCATTTAAGAGGGGAGTCGTTATTAGAAGTACCGACACTCACCTATAGTAAACATGGCAGAGGTCTGTCTCCGTGTTCTATTCAGACTGTCGTCCGGGTTCGCTGATACGGAGAGCATGACCATCAGAACAATGAGACCATGTAGCTTAACCATTTGGTTGAACATCTCCGACGATAGCTAGATAAATATGTCAAACACGAGAGCACTTGTTAGTCGGGTCTGTTTCCAATGTGTATCCTGATTAGTGAGCCCCGTTTCGATGATAAACAATTTAGAAATTTATACAAATATGATCAGGGCGTCTTCGTGGAGCTCAAGAACTTCTATGATTGGAAAGTGGCTGGTGCGAAGGTTGAAATGTGGGAAATTTAGGGTCAGCTGAAGCCAACGCAAAGTTCACGAAAGAACCAGAAGAGCTGTGTTACGATTTCATCAAATTAGTTCGAATGGAAAGTGAGCTAGGGAAAAGCAGCATTCAGCAACTCATTTCTGTTTGATTATCCATCGCCACTTGCCGTTACTATTGTCTTTTGGCCAATCAAGTAACGGTGCAAAGTGTAAATGGACACCAGTTTGTGAAAATTGTGCAAGTCAACTAATAACTCCAAATGCTTAAAAATGGGACCATCCACGGAAGGTTAAATGCATTATTTGCGAGGATGGAGGATTAGTAAGGCTTTGGCGAGTAGCAGTGCTACGTGCATTTACGCCTTCAAGAGCTCCGGCTGGCTCGAAATCGGATCAGACTCTCTTTACCATCGTAATCAAGAGTGTCAGCCTAAGTAAATTTTAATCATTATTAAGGGATTAATTTGTGCGGTGGATTAACGCGTTTTTGATAAAAATACCTTCATTTCACAACTTTGGAGCTATGTTTCGTTTTATTTCCCTGAAAATGGGATCAACAAGGGTCAAGGGGGCTTCACATTTGATTTTGCATAAATACTCTGAAAAGTCGATGCTTTACCTCAGTATTCACTTCAGAGAAGTGCTTTAGAAGTGACTTGAACAGATTTTTTTTCGATATGCATCTACAATATGTGCATGCGATCTGATGTCAGTTGTAATTACCCTCTAACCAAAACACCTCCACTCTCCGGCAATCTGGAGCCCTGATGAGACAAGCGCACCGCCAAATGAAACGTCTCACCAAGCTGACTAGTCCTTTCTGTCTGGAACAAATTCAGCCGGCAGTGCTTCATAATAATCTACATAATCGCACTTTTCCCCGCTCTTAAGGCCTTAATAATCGGCCAGGCTCCCTTCATTCTTATAAGCTGTCCAACTTATAAGTAGACACCAAACTAATGGACTTACTAGCCAACCCTATGGAGCAAGCTGATCACTGGGAATTCTCTGGTTGCTCTATGGCAGCGAAAATAGCATCTATACTGGATCGAGTTTTCAAGGGACAGTAAGCAGAGCATGAATTATTCGGTGCTTAATAGGAATGCTACATTTCAAAGGAGAGCTTCATAAAAGGGGTGCAGTTCATTCGACCAAGGCAACATAACAAACACGAGCAGCTAATCGCCCTTCATCTAAATGTCGATGGAATCCACCCACATATCAAGTTTCCCTTTCTGCAGCAAGCAGTGTTCATTCACCGCCTATTAAAAAATGCCCACAGGAAATGACACCAACAAGTAATCCTACTTTATAACCCCGAAAATATTCGTGCATCCTCCCGTTTGTTACTTGATTTATTTTAACACTTGCCACAAAAGCCACACAGGCCTGCACGAGATCGCGGATCAGCAGACGCATTGTCTTCGGGTGCACTAATAAAATTTCCCTCCTATTTCCCAATTTGTAACAATTTAGTGAAGAAAATTTGTTCTACATTTCCCGTGTAGATTTTTATGCATGAGGATACCAGATATTCTATTGAAAAGGGATACATCAATTGTTAATAACGAGTTTTTTTTAATTTCACTGCTTTTAATGTCACGCAAAAAAAACGTGAGCTTGCCAAAAAGAGGATGGATTTACAAGGTTAGCATTAAACTAGCACTGACCATTTAATAATAAGGTTATGGATAGCAGAGAAATCGCACTATTCATGTACATCTAAACGGATCTTGAAGGAGCGGATGTTAGTAATTTAGGGCGTCGGCCATACTTAAAGACCCATACGCCTGAACGCCACGAATACGGTATTTTCAAACATATTGTAAGCACTTGAGAGAAGGTATTCCAAACACGCAGAACAAAGTGAGCATAAATAAGCATGAGTATGTAAGTATAAATTGAGTGTGCAAAGTATAGACACCTAGACCTACTTCCATACGAGTTTCCCCAATGCAATGGAGGCCGTCCACCGCAAGCAGCAAGTGTTCGTGCCTCTACTCTGCAGCACAACAATTTTAAGCGACCCCTCTCACATTTATTTTATGACATATGGAGGATTCTCAATTCTTAACCTTTGAATGGTCCAACCGCCAAAGGTATCTAATTTATCAACTACCCCAAGAAGGCAGAGCACAAAGGATGAATGAGTGAACGCACAAAAAACAAGTTGGATGAAAAAAAATACTAGGTCTTCGGGAGCTGCCTTGCGTGACTGTGCACAATTAAGATTCCTCCGAGTGTCTTCCCTGATTTATATGCGCCAACGAATGGGGAAGGTACGGCCGCATTGGCTTGATTGACGTGAAATTCACAACACACGTACTGCCAAATGGTTCGGGGTAGGAGATCGGTCCCATGTGGATAATTGAGTCGCTACTACTCGCCTTTCATGACGGATTTGAGCGAAAAAACCCTCAAATAACCATTTAGGATATCCTTGTGTGATGAGCTAATAAAAAAGGAAGTCTGAAAACTTTCGGTCTAACCGTGAATTTACTGGCACGAGTGTAGCAAATGGAAGAAGGAGAGTGACTGCTTATCTATTGTCCGAATTTAATTTGCGCTGCGATAGACAGAAAAACAGTTGTTTATAAAAAAACTAGAGTTGAAGTATTTCGAAACACCCTAATCGACTAGATTCAAAACAGGCTGACACCAGTCTGATTTTGCACCTTGTACTGGGATCGCTTTCAAACTTTTGGCATGCCAGGGGAAAACATCAGTAAAAAAGAGAACTGCTATGCAATGTCCAAGAATCGCATACACCGGAATCTTAAAAAATGAGCCATCGGTTGACTATGCAAATGATCGGCTACTTCAGCGGTACTAGTCAATATCCAATCGAAATTGAGCACCCACGGTGGAGTAGATAAAAAAACACACTGACCATAATTCACTGCGTAAGGGGTATTTACTCATTAAAAAATTTTCGGACGTTCATTTGGTTCATGCATGAGATGAATGTGCAAGAATATTTCCACAAAAGGCATACCGTCTTCAGTCGAAGGCCACAATCACGCAGATGTTTTGAGACTAGGGCAAAAGGACTACAACCAGCAGACCAAGGAGAAACCTAACCTCTGAACGCCCGTCGAATAGCAGTGACGATCTGGCGTCGAATCACCACAAGGCGAATACTGTGTGCGCGTGCGTGCATCCGCGCGTGCGATGCGGACGTGCAATCAACATTGTCAGCTGGTCGTGCAGTCATTGGCCAACAGCGGTATGCACGCACGGTTTGGGCCTATTGGTTAACGATTACCGTACGAAACGCGTATGTGTGTGCACAGAGGATCGAGGGTTTTCTCCTATCCTATTCTGCGTGCGCAGGGCCTGATACCAGCGCCTTTGTCAAGTGATGGACGGTAGATCTCACGTGTCGACAAAATTAGCCCCGTTAGCGGTCATGTCAAGTGGACTACGCTTGGAAAAGCAAATTATGGCTTCCACTGCTGCTCCGTAGTTCAGAGGAAAAGTGTTCAGTTAGCGCACAATTGTCCTACTTCTGATAAACGTATTTTGGTTTTTCGAAGTGGATTGACGCGCCCGAAGGGGCTATCTAGTGGAATGACGGTATCAGTGCTGATATAGCCATTAGTCAAAGTGAAATCCCACTGATCCATGCGATTTTGCTGCAATCACGTTTTTTTTTAGCCTAAAACAATATGTTTTATCATCCAACTGCTAAGCCGCGCTGTTAGCGTTCGGTAATTGCATTGCCATGTCGTCTCCCCTCATGGAAGCAAAGTGAACCGAGCCCGACAAGAATGGCGATTTTACATCCTAGTCGTTTTCGGATTGATAACTTTGTAAGGTAGACCAGATTCCCTTCAAGTTAACTGCTGGCTATTTATTTACTTTCAAGTGGCAGAGCTATTCAAATATCTGCCCCGGTTCTTCCAGCAGTCGGTTCCATTTATGACACTTGAACTCTCGGGAATCCCGGAATTCGACATTCCCCCACAAATAATGCTCTTTTTTTAGAAAGCAAGTTTTACTTTAATTGATAAGTACAGTTTTTAAATCCTTACAACTGCTTTGAAGTGCCCATCGAGGTAAGCTGGTAAAGACAATGCTGAGCCTATGTGCAGCTTTGTAGATCCAGCTACCTGATGGCAGCACCAAATTCAGAATGCGTCACAGGCCTGGTGATCTTTCAAATGGATGCGCTTATACCTCATTTTTAGTGATCACTTTCCCGATTCATTTCTTATCGTAAAAAAGGGGCTAAATATACTTGCCTTGACAAATATTGTAGCATAAAAAACGTAAACTAATAGATAGTAACAGAAGCTCATCCATGCGCCCCTTCAAGGTTAGCTCTGCCAAAAGAGAAAGCACATTCAATCCCACTCCAATCAGGCATTTCAAAATCTCGAGTGCTTCAGATCTCTTCGGAACTTTATCTAAGGCATAAGTAAACCGTCGCTTCACAGGGAACAGTATACCCCGATCTTTGTAATGAGAAAAGCGTCTTTAGAGCAATTGGTGCTAATAAGTATTAAGCTGTCTAAAAAGAATATTGTCAATTCAGATGTGGCTGTACCTGGGAACCGATGCATGTCTATATTTATCTACCTTCGAAAGCTCCATGGACAAGGGAATTAAAGCTGGCGAATTCCATTCCAGAAAAACAGAAAAATTGGAAAAGTGTGGAAGTATGAACAGAGGTCTGCCGCGCGTACCGAATCATAAATCCATTCAATCTAATTTAGCCCTTGGAAGCATAATTGAGGTGGAAGTCGTTGTCGATTGACCGTTTCGTCTTGCCACATCTTTCATGGAAGATTTCAGCTAATTATCTGTACAATGCGGACCATTTCCATGAGGGGAGGCGTCCTCGTTGCGTGAGAATTAGTTGCTACATTTCAGTCATTTGAATTTCCTGCACGTGAAAACCCGCCAAAATTTTAATCCGACTTCGTACTAAATTGCATTGAGGTGAAGGCTCCAGAAACGATCCTCCTATCTGCTAACAAAAATTGCATAGAGACGATGGTGAATCAAACAGTAGCCTGTTACTCCTTCAGTTCATTCAACCGAGTTGAATTTAGTCTACTCGTAAATCCATTCAAAGATTGAATTAATTGCGGTGCTCTGATGAATCATTTTTACCCCACCTGTTCAACCAGACCCCAAAATATCCCTTAATTTTCCAGACTTGCATTGAATAGTTGCAAATGTACTAAAAGTAGCACAAATTATCTAGATTCAAGATGAGATATTTAAGGTACATTACATGATTTTTGATGCCCATGGTAATGGGCCCTAAGTGTAGAATTACATCTAAACAGAAATATCCAGCTGTGAAAAGATTTTATATTTTTTTAACAGTGTATTGAACTATTAGGTCACTTGAGTCATTGCATGTTATGCTTCGTCTGCGACACGGCCTTGGTACCGTGATACCGACACTTCTGCACTTGGTAATATGACCTGCCGCAGCGCTTGGGCTTACTTCAACTTCGGAAGAAGATACAAGACAGTAAGTCTGTATTCTAGATACCATTTGTGGATGCCTGGCCATAACTTTGCAGAAAATTACTCAAGTCATTCCGTAATATAATCTCCAGACTAAAAGTATAACCATAGTGTCCTTACCACTTGGGGAATTGGAATGCAATGCTTCTAATTTATGTGTATCTATAAATAATTTCGATAACGAGTCATTCTGGCAACTAGTTACAAACAAGAATACGTTTCCAAAACCTTTTACGAAGAGGTCAGCAACAATAATTATAGTTGTCTTGGCTGGACATCATGTTTAAGTACGTGAACACTTATTTCTGCAGGTTGTACTTTTACTCAGTGGGATGGTCCCTAGGCCCGATAATAGCCCTATCTCCTCTGTACGCCAGCAATTTATTTTAATTCCATAATAATTTGTTCTATTACGGCTTCCGATAGGACTCAGGGTACCAGATAATAATATAAACTACACAATTTCATCATAACAGAACGAGAAATCATTGCTTTTGAATACATTTTTAATTCACTAGTTAAGAGTCAAACGCCTTACTAGAAAGACAATTTAGCCAGAAAATAATCCGTGATAGCACTTGGGGCTTTAATTCCGTACTTTCATCTAAAGTTATTAAAAAGCCACTCATAGGTGGTCTGGTATTAAGATCACTCATACTACTTTTTCTGGCAATGACCATTTTAGGATAGATTTTAACGACTCTCGGATACATTTACAATGATGCAAAGCGGGCGCACCATAGGAACTCTGGTTTTCAAAAAACAATAATATGCGTCTAATCTCAAGCGATTTTCCCCAATTTTCAGGTAATTTGCTCTAGCATGCCACATACAGAGGAGTCTTGAAATGCACAATAGCAAATCAATGGGAGTCACAGACGTGTATCAGCTTTACATCGTCCCATTCAAGAGAACGTCTCTCAACCATTTCTAATTAGATATGATACTATTTTAACAACGCGACCACCAATGCCTACAAATACCTGATTCGAAACTTGAAAATAATGATGCGTACAATCTACACTTCCATGGATCGTGTCAACTAATCCTCCCCGAATTTCGTTTGTACATGCAATTCCCAAAATGACATCCACCAAATGCTTCTTTTCTCCTTTATTGCAAGTGCCCATTCTTCACTTTCATTGAATGAAAAGCATACTGCAACAGTGACGTTGGCATACACAGACCTTTCACGCCAGTTGACTAAATGCCCCTCCGTTCACTTTAGAGTATCAGTGTGCGTGCTATGAGACCCATCCTACAATCCATGTGGTCAAATGTCTAATAGGTTGGTTAAACCAATCTGTAAGCCAAAAGTTCCAGTTTCTTCTAGTACCTAAGTTAGAACATTGTGACACCTTTCTTTTTATCCCGGCGAGGTAGGCTAACAAGGTACACCCATGCAAATTTGAATTGAGGAGCTGTTACGGTGTGGCTACCTTTGAGGTATTAGTAGCATGAATAGTCCACGGCTTTAGGCTCCCCGACGACTTTTGTCAGTACATCCACAGAAGAAGTCAGAACCTCAAAAAAATGAAATCAAGCACATTTGCGGTGTAACATGAAATATTCTATTTGTTCTATGGGTCAGCAAAACGAGGCGTCGAGACAGTTATTGCGAGCCTAGATTGGTTTTGACAGTGCAGACCGATTGTTATTGTAACTGTTCCATATTTCTAGTTTCGACAACACCAAGGACGAAATATGTGTCCGCTGCCCAGCTAATGTATATATATGTACTAAGCTGCGGTTCTCAACACCTTTTCATATTCCCTTAAAAACTCAACTACCTGAATGGCTCTGATGTTGAGAGTCTCAGTTCAAGAAGCGGCAATCAAACGGAGAATGCATTGTGTAATTCGGTTTGCCAGTTTTATACCCCACCATATATTAAGATGACAAATGAAAACAGCAGTTAAAATGGTGCCCAAAATTCAAATGGCATTCCCATAATCAACTGTTTACGCCTTTGAAACTTAAAAGGCAAACAGGGCGTGCTTCTGTCCCAACATCCCGAAAAAATAAGTATGATCACCAATAGACTTAAATAGCGTAAACTTACTACGAATTTACTGGCGCGTATTTTCCCACTACTTTCTTGGTTTACTGCATCCAACTTAAACTAGCATATAACATTTGCAAACAAAGGCGACTGGTATTTAGAAAAATGGCTTAATTACATCTGGTAAGCAACAAATTTGATAATAATGAGGTGTCAATTAATTAAAAAAGTATTTCAGAAAACGAATAATACATACTCAATTAATATCATTTCCTGAACCTTGTACCTGACGTGGGTTTAACAGACTGAAAGTAGAGCTTACTGGTTGCTTTCGGAAGAGACTTCGTGGTAGGGTGAAGTTTGTGTGCAATAGCTCGGAGAAAAATTGCCCACCGGGTTTAAGTACTACTACAGATAAAAGAATCAAAGACTTCACATGAGATATAGCCTTGGTGGTCAAATTGTTTAAAAAAACGAAAATAATTTGGTCAATTGAAGCCGTCGAATATAACTCATTTGCCAAAGGGGTTATAGTTTCCGACAATTCAGAGTTTTCTGTTAAATACTTTATAACAATGCTGCATAAAGGGCAGTCCTCATATCATTTAAATAGAATGGACATCCTATGAGAATCTAATGCTATTTAGTGGATTTTGTGTGTCGACTATTTACCACTTATCATTTTGGTGTGTACATTTATGAATTTATGCTCTGAAGTACAGATCGAATACGAAACCCCTCACGTAGAGACCGCTCTTCCAAAGGACGCTGCTTCACTCCTCACAACGACACCACGGTCTGTAGGCTACACGCAAAAGTGGCGTCGGGGTGACGCCACACACCAGCAACGGGCCAATCCCAAGTTGCTGGCAGTAATTGCTGCCTCGCAGACAGCCAATCTCATGAAGACACGTGTACAGCTCTGCCAGGCACCTCTAGAGTGGCACACATCCTAGAACTCATAGCTCCTCTACTCCAGTGGTGACTGCAGTTTTGCATTTTCTAGTCTCAGTGCTCTGCCTAATGGTGGTTTAATGTTCAGTCGACTCAGGAATGCTTGGCGCGTGTTTTCATGCAGAATAAAATCATTAAACCTAAGCAGCCGTTTTGAAAAACTGTCACGCACAGTTTGTGTCTTGTAGAATGCATTGGTGGCTGAAGTGCAATTTGATGCATGTTGCGTCATGCAATTGCGCTGACGCCTCGAAACGGAGGCAGATGTGACTGTGACGGCTGTATTGCTGAATGCAAGTCGAGGATGGGGGGTAAAGGAGGCACCGTGTGACAGCTTTGGCTATCGCAACAACAATCTGAAATGGCACTTGGCCATCTTCTTTTTCGTATTTACAGCCGATGGTGTTGGCGCAACACTCTTCCAGCCCCATTGCGGAGATTATCACAAATGATATTTCGCCTGTACGGGAGGACACCATGCACAAAAGTGATAGTTGTAAGCAAGACGGAGGTTTAATGCAACTGGTGGTTTGAAGCAAGTGTACATTTTGACTTTTTTAGATGACTAGGATGAGTTTATATATGCCAGACTTAAAATATAGCATTCGTTGTGTAAATACTGCTGTTGGCAATGCGTTGACGGCGGTTTCTTGCAACTCATTCGAAACCTGTTACCATCGCGATGCATTAATCCCACCCACTCTGTCAAACACATTCACCTCCCTAAATTTACTCTGAAAACGAAGGTGTGTGCTACTCATTGATGTCTCATGGCATCCACGATAGGCCAGCAGAGTGGTTTCATAAACGCCTAAACAATCTATTAGAATGTGACCACACAATTTGAGAAAAAGTCCTCAGTTTAACATATCATTAGTTCTTTGAACTAGTGTACAATAGCTAAAGACCTGCATTGGACACAAATCTAGAAAACCTCACCTCCACTTTCTGCAATAACGTTCCTAATGTCAGTTAAACTAACAAACATCCCATCCGAACCACCGAGTTCTCCTGACTAGCAGCCTTTGTCAAGTGACACTCGACCATCACAACTCGCACTTCCCACGTTCTTCTGCAATTCAGATAAGGGAAAGCCATTAAAGTTACGACTTAGGCTACACCATAATCTGGTCTTTTGCAGCTAAAATGCTTATTACAACTTGATTACGGAAATTACAGGAAAACACAAGGCGCTGGAGTTCGCAGAGAACAAAGCGCTGATATCATAGTCATTAACATGAGCAGCAGTGGTTAATCCAAGTATACATAGAGGAGGATGAGAAGACAAAGGGCGGAGGGGCAAGAGGAGGATAAGCTAGTGTTTGGAGTTAAACTTTAGTTGGACCAGATAGCGCAGGCGTATTTGACGCAAACAATGAACTCGTTGTACCAGACTAAGGCATTGGCCACTTTAGATTTGATGATCTTTCCACAGGGCACCACTACACCATCATCTCTATGACAACAATAGAAACACATTTCCGAATGAAGCAATCGAAAAAGCACGTAGGTAGGTAAGAAAACTCTACTTTAACAAATTACAAACTAGTTTAAACCATTCTTCGTTCGGTATCGATAAGGACACACATTCACTACCTCCACATCACAAAATACGGCAAAATAAACCTGTACATCGTGTCAGAGAGGAAACTTACAAAGTAATCCAAGTCGAAGGATCAGGCATATTGCGGCCGACGCCCAGAGCACTGTGCTTTCCCTTTGGCAATCGGTTGGCATTACGGTCTGGGTGCATCAGGGGGTTGATTTCGCCAAGGGAGACCTGAAAGAGAACACATCGATGCACTTCCGAACCTGCCTGCAAAACACTATCGTAGTTTTCATAACTGAACCACCGTTTACCATTAGCCAAACTGGCCAAGACCACATTTTCACCCGTGGTTCAACATGCCCCGTTGCTACCCAAAAATGATGCCTTGAGCGGTCAAACACATCCGCAAGCTTCAATCGTTGTTGACAATGGCAGACTAGGAAAACTTGATGCTACTTCTAGCAATTGCATAAAAAGGAGTAACCGTTAATGCTGGAACATTAATTTCGCCCACACTCAATGCGGTCTCCACGGTTCCACTGCAAAACGCCTTTTAAGAAAGTCCTCAGAAAAAAACGCATTGAAAGATAAAAATGAATCCCAGTCATTCACATAAGCCCGATTTAGCACTCACTAATCACGGCATTCATTATAAAATTTTGACGGATTTCTGCTTAAGGGTTTCACATTCGCCACCTTCGACCAAAGAATACTATGAGGAATGAATCCACAAAAAACACCAAAGGAGTTACAGGCAGCAGAAGTGGATGCAATATACCCTGCTCACCATCTTCAATTGATATGCTTTGCTCAGACATTTCAATCTCAACTACTTCCGATAAGTATCCACAACTTGGTATGAATCGTCACGGTCACGGTTTCCTCTCTTCTAGTGTCAAAGCACGAATATGGAACGAACCTTGATGAGTCAGATATGCGCAATGGTGCGAGGGCATATGCTGTCAAGTGGTCACTTTAAACTCTGCAGTGTGTGCATCATGCGTAACTGTTTGTCGAATCTGAGGTGACGGTGCTGAACTGCGTGGCACACCAGTGTGCTTTCAATTGGTATTTGAAAACTTAATTTGAGTGACAGACATGTCATTGCTTCTGCCATTTTATGCCTTTGATGCACGACCTATTTGTAGTTGAGCCTCAGTCTTCTAAGCTAGAATCTCTTGAAAATATTTTTTTTTCAAGGCAACATTATATTGGCTCTGTGATTGCAATTCTTAGAGTTCGCCTAACTGAAAGTCAGGATATAGAAGGGAGGAGGAATTTAAGGAAATTATGCCTATATAGCACGTAAATATGCGTAGCTTTTCCGGGTGGTGATGTGATGACAAATGAGCTGTGCATTACCTCACTGTTATTCTTTTTTAGAGTATGGAATTTGCTCACTGATAGTTATGTCCACGACCTCTTCGCGCTTCTCTTCCAGCCTTCACAGCAGAATGCCTTTGTCAAGTCGAATTCGGCCTAGCGCTTTGTGTGGTTTGATAATCTAATCGAAGCTCAGCCCTAACGCTTCAATGTGAGATTTCCAAATTTGCAACAATCGACATTTAAAATTGCGACCTTGTGGCTTAAGGATAGGTGGAATAATTGAGAGCGAATTTATGAAACATTGCACAAGCATTTGCTTTACAACTAAGGAAACTTTACCAATGGTTCTTGTTTTTTTTAGTCTTTCTATTTAATTGACCGAAAAACCTTTTAATTTAGTCACATTGTCTTTTCGGATTTAAAATGCACTGTATATCTAGTTACCAGACTTTCATTCATGTGTATACTTTACTCCTTCAGACAATTTAATTGCATAGACACTCGAGAATTAATTGCTGCTAATAATGAGTACGTTTTTTAGGTGACAAGCAGCCCATTTTCACCAAGCAGGCTATCGGCTCCTGCGACGGAAATGAACACCGACCCCCCTTAAACCTTGCTAATCTGTAAACTACTAACTTATTTTCCAAAAAGTGAAAGTCCTTTTCTACTTCCTCTTCTTGATTCAATAATATGAAAGCGAAGCTAAAAGAAAAGGACTCAAAATTTGACTTATTTGCGATCAATTAATTAATCAAGCTTAAAGTTGAGTTTGAGAATTGGTGATCTAGTTAGAAAAAAGAAAGCAAAATTGCGCCTGGTTTTTTGCTAAAATAGTTAAAGTCGTAACAGTCATGGACCTACCAATCAAGTACTTAGGCCAAGTTATTGTTGACTTTTGAAAATCCAATTATATTTTGAAAGTAAAAGCCAATACATCTGTGGTCATTGGATAACAATAAGGAACCCCAAAATGGTGGATAATCCCTCGCTTATAGATAAACCGGTAGGCCATAGGCGTAGCCCTCAACCCAAAGGAGTAAGTGTGCGTACAATTTAAGGAAAGTAGGCAAATTATTCTGAAATTTGCGAATATTTGTTTTGTTGGAAGTGTTTAAACATACTAATTTCTTAATGTCAAGCAGAATGTTTGGAACATAAATGTAAAACAACTCTGTATAAACTCAACTCTTCATAGCTTCGAATTATATTTTTTAATATGCTTGTAATCAAAGCGCTTACTTCCAAACTCCGTATCCGTTGCTGCCCTTGGTGTTGATGAAGGGAATATGCCCGTATGGATAATGAATCGTTTTGGGGTTGGCTAAATTGTACGAAACGTTCAACTGGTTGTAATTGTGAATTCTACGCGGAGAAAATCGGAAAATTTTGCACCTACAATGTTTGCAACTACATTTTTAGCTTTTGCAATAAACTCAAAACTCCTGATTCTGTTCCGTTTATAGCATTCGTTCTATATGACCGTTTCCTATGCTTTGAGCTCCAATCTATTTTTAGGTCTTGTCACAATATTGATACAGCACAGGTTAAACGAGTACTTTTGCGAAAAAAGAAGGACATTATTCTTCACTTGTATTCGGTTATTCAATTAACAACCAAGAGTGTTGATAGAAGAAAGGTTCTCAAGGCATCTGCCCTACAGAAAATTTTTAAAAAATCGTCGATGGAAGTGGACATTGAGCATATTATTAATTCTGAAGCTTATGTCTTGGGGTCTTTGCAGGATGGCCTGCATTGTTTCGATTTGCTTACGTCCGTGGAATTCTTCACTTGTTTGAATGATCGCTTTGCGACTAAAGTTAATCTAGAAAATGTCGTGGATGTTCTTTATGTTATATCTGCCAATTTGTCGAAACTTCGAAGTGAAATCCACTTGGTCTTCCGAAAAAACATTCAACCACACATTTGTCTTCGAATACTCACCGCATCAGCCATTGTATGTGCGGCTTTGAAGTCCTCACAGTTGGCTCTTGCCTACTCCCGAACGTGTTCTTCTTTACTAACGTGTTCTGTCGACGAACTATTGGCAGTTGTTCATTGTATACTGTGCTTATTTTGATTTAGGCAAGTGAACTTAATTTCCATGATTCCCGAGAAGTGTGTTGTTTTCCGTTTGAATAGATATCTTCATGCTTTGTTCTGCTCATTATCTTCACCTGGTACTTTTCGTGCTAGTTCCTTTTCTATCATAGCCCATTTTTAACTGGTTAAGGCCATTTTTAGTAGACAATAGATTATGTCTAACCGTTATCCAGCATGTGTCTTATTAATCCTAAAGTGTTTGGTTTTCGTGTGGATTTATACAGGTTTAAATAACAATCTTGCCACCGAGGTGACTCCATTTTCCATAAATTTAATAAACAATGGTTACACAAATTCCAATCTAGTTACTTATAAGTTGACGTTATGGTCTAACTAAAACCCGTTACTAGTCGAAGATAATATGCATTTTAATTTCTCTTTTACCATTAATATAAACCGTGTTACTGGATCTCCATTTTCCGTCTAATATGGCAATTTTTCCAGGTTTCTAGGCACTTTTCTATTGCTTTTTTCATATTTTGACCTACTTTATTATGTTTGCTTCACTGTGTACTTTTTTCGGGTTTCAAGTGGGATATTGAGTTAGATTATTTCATCAGGTATTTTTGGCCTCTATCTTCTAACTAGTAAGTGTTATACACCAATTTTAATTCCACGACCTTTAAAATGGCAGCAAGATTATCAACAACAGATATTACATTCTCACAAGAACGTGTTTACCCTATCATTAAGAATTTTTTTCCATTTGCGTACCTTATTACTCATCAGATTCGGATGTTGGGATCATTATAGGCTGGATGTCCGAAAGAGAAGCGAGGAAGTACTCGTAGGAATATGTGTATTGTAAAACGCAAGCTTTTTGCACATCGAGTACTTAAATGCAGTCCACAGTCCTGCAAAATAAGACGGACAAAATAAAGTGGTTTATTTTCGTGCATTAGACTTCTGCATTTATTGCCGGTGTGTTCATCAAATTAAAAGGAGAACCAAAATATTAACAAGTTTGAAAGACCAATTATGAGGTATTCCATCTCTACATGATAGTACGCGTGTGGATCACATCGCCACCTTTTATGAACTTGTTCAATTCTACTAGGAGCTTGGCTCCTTCGATGCAGTCCTCCTATTCGATGCTGCCAGTCTCGTCATTCTCTTTTAAGTTCACATCAATAGATTCAGTAGTCATGCTTATTGGTAGTGTCCAATCCCCTTCTTCACATCTATTTACGGACAGACTGACATCCGGTCCAACCTTTAATCTGCATGGGTGCTCAAGTGTAAACGCGTTACCCATGTACAGTTGTCCGTTAAACACCACCGTTTCGTTATTTGCAAGTTGGGGATCGATGGCAGGAAATGCCGGCTGACCTGGAGGCTGAATACCCATTGGAGTCGTCTGGAATAGTGGCCATTGTGTAGCCACCCTACAGGGGCTTAGCCACTGGTTGCAGTCTGCCATCCAGGCTCCGTTTTGGGGTGTCGCTACTTGTCCATCAACTGTTCGACTGTTTACTGGCATTTGGGGATTTTGATAGATCAGACTTGGTGTCCATATTTGTTGAATCGCCTGTGGCAACCAGCCCGCTGCATTGGAGAGAGGGATCGTGTGATAGCCTGTATTGGTGCCGTTGAAAGCCGGCTGCATCTCGTCATTCCCCAAGGATAGTACTTCACTCAAACCTTGCTGCTCATTCACCGCGGTCTCCTTTAGGTATTCATCCTCTTGGGAGACACTGGTAGGCATGAGAGGGACGGTGATTTGGCTTTGCGATAGGAGGCCCGTTTCCGTCTCATGCTGTGTTATGGATGCTACAGGATTCGATTTATTTAGTGCGGTGTAGCCATAAGCCAGTGGTTGTCGTGGTAATGACGAGAGAGGTGATTTAATGGAGAATGCGTAAAGTGGCGCCGGTGTCAACTGCTGTTCCGTTGGTTGTCCCCACACTGGCCCTGCGGGCAGTGGCAGGGTTTGTGCTGATGTTTCTCTATTCGGAATGTAGAATGATACGTAAGTTGGTGTCGACTTGGACACGTCGGTAGTTGATTGTATTCCCGGATGGCCAATTAAGGGATTGTTTGGTACTGTAGGAAGCTCTTGATTTTGCCCCTGATAGTCGTAAACGACACATTCTGGTGTATTGGGTGCCTGAGCCAGGGTGCAGGTTTGTGTTACAGGACCTGGTACGAAGAAGCCCGATACGGCTAGGGGGTACTCCGTTGGCTGTTGTGTATCCCTTGGAAAAGCATTGATGGATACGAATCCCGTAGGTCCCACAGTGGTTTGCATGAATTGCCCATCCTGTGCCATGCAACTGGAATAGCGCCAGGGCACTGTGGTGACCTGCCGCTGGATAGGTCGATATACTTCACTTGCTGGTGGAAGATATTCTTTTCCTGGTACCGCCGATCGGGACAGGTCCTTTGGTTCCACTGTCTCAGTGTTGTAACGATTGGTTAAGTCATGTCGAAATGGTATTTTATACGCGATATTCCATGCAAGCTTGCCTGGAAAATGAGTAGATAATGATGAGCTGATTTAGATTTGTGTAATCATGATCACTTCCAGTAATATCAATAAATTTTAATACAATTATGGTGGTGACTGAGCCAAACGGCACAGAAATGATTGTTGGAAGTAGGTGGGTAAGGAGGGTGGGATCGGTTGCGCACCCAAGTAGTCCTGTGCAAGAATGAGGATGGCACGCGCGCCTCTGCCCCTCACCACGACAACGAAGCTAACGGCATGGACTAGAGTGAGGAGGGAGGGGTATCCGTAGGCTTCAGGATATAGCGTGACCCCGAAGTGGCGTCGATACATCTGCTCCATGAGGTTAAGCATCAGGCGACCTCGAGTGCGCATCAAGAGGAAACGCAGCTGTCGCGCAAACAGGATAAGTGGGCAGAGGTGCACCATTCGAGAGCCCATCACTGTCCCTTCAGTCTCACCCAAATCTGTAGCTGCAGGTTTCATCCCTGCACAGATTGGGTCTTGCATCTGGACGTTATAGTCTTTAACCTAGTGGGTGGATTCTAATTAGGGATCACAATACTTGCAGATAGCAGCAGCCTATTTCATCACAAAAGTCCTACCGAGATGAAGGGGCTCATTTCTTCGTGGACGAAGTCAAGATCCACCTCCTCTTGAAATGTAGCCTGGTAGTGCTCTTTAAATTCGTCCTCGGGAATAGATCCAAATGGTGAGTTGAAGAGGATCTGCAGACAGCGATAGGCGGTTTGCTTCGTTTTATATTTATCCACAAGACAGACGTAGATTGCCGTGCTGGGTGGGCTTTGCGTTTTCATATCTTCGGACTTGGCTGTCTCCATAATGGGACAGTCACCAGTCATGCTGAGCATTGGATTTTGCGATGTAGACGCAATGGAATGAGGTGTAGAGGACTCGGGCTGTCGCTGAGGCGGCTGTTGAGTAAGAAAGACCTCGGGGAACGATGAGAACATCTCATCTAATGTGCCAAAGCCATAGTCCTGTGGCAGAAGGATCAACTGATAGTGAGTCACGAATGCTGACAATAAATCACTCATTGGCAATCGGTGGAGAACCTGGGATTCAAGGATTTCTAGGAGCATTTGTCTGATAAGAGCCAGACGCAGAGGAGGGGTTAGACTGACGTACCTTTCCCCATTCTCCTCTTGGACCTTCAATTATGGAGAAAGTGGTACATTTTTACTGCCATGCTTCAGAGTATTTGTGCATAAAATGTACGACCTTTCTGTTTATAGGAACAGTTATTAAGAGTGGAGGAGGGAGTATTGAAGGCGTGCGTCCTGGATTATGGTAAGGCGCAACATAATACTGTGAGAAAAGGGAATATGGTACTTCTAAAATGACTGCTTTTTATTCATTTGCCATGACTCCTCTCTGCATTGCCCATGATTGAATGTACGCAGCAATCAAAAAATAAATATTTTTTTATAGCAGGACTTTACTACTCTTCTGACCTTTGAATGAATTAAAATGGTTTCAAAGGCGTGGATTGGAATGAAATATAAAACACTTTGTATGGAACTGGGCTTAAACTGCAAAAAAATACGGAAGTAATTCTGCCTTAACCAGTAAGAATCTTGTATTCTTGCATTTTTGTTGGCGCGTTCACTCAATGAAAGTTATTTCTAATGATTGCTTAAATTCAGGATGCATTTCAAACCTAATCAAGAAGGGCTTGTCATAAGAGAGGTGTAAAAAAGCACAAACTGGTATAATTTTCGTGATGAAGCAGACGAGCAGCGCAATTTAAACCACTGCAGCATTGTAAATCTAGAATACAGAGAAGTTGAAACCGTTAAAAGATGATGTGTACGTCACCTCCACAACATGCGGTAATGCCTCCAGCAGTTCGATGAATTTTGCGAAGCCATACTCTGCCACGCGGCATTGGTGGTTGAAAGCATGGTGGTAGGCAGGAATGAACTTGGTGAAGGCGATCTGAAAGCGCTGCATGGTGGAGAGCATGTCCACCACCTCGACAGCAAAGAGCTGGGTACGCAACTTCTGCTCAGCGGTTTGGATGCGTCGTGGAATAACCACGCTGGGACCCTCCTCCTCCAAGTTTTCCACCACCAGCTTGCTCTCTGCGACGTCATTCAGGAGATCGAGTATGCTACATACCCCATAGTTTGACGGCATGAAGGGCTAAGCAAATAATGCCAAAAACAGACTCTCCTGTTATTAGCAGGCACCAAGGGAAATGTAAATAACAAGCGGAGTGGCTCAGATAGCGTAAATGACTTTCCTTTATTACAATTATTCCAAAGACTTTCAAATCATGCGTATTTTCGCAGGGATGCCATAAGTTATCAGAACGCTCAATTTACAGTAAATCGGCATAACTTACTGATTATTTGATAGAAGTTTCTATGGATTCGTCAGTCCTAATCTGATTTCTACACCCATGATACTCATTTATACTTAATGTTTACGGGTTTCCATTCCTTCTGCACACGAATATTAAAGCTACTCTCAGATTCGTGTGTCTCAAAACATCTGCAGTGACTTGG